TATTATTGTATTGGGATCCACATGACCTTTTATGTCTATTGGACTTCATTTTATGAAATTGGGGACACCAATATTTAATTCATATATTTTTACATTGCCATATTTTAATAAGTGTTCCATTTTTTACTATGAAGTAGTTTTCTTTATCCTTTGTAAATTCGAATTTAAATACTTCATTTGGTAGAAGAGTGGCTGTGTCAGATTCATTTGTTTCCATTAACTTGATTGTTTTCCATCTTTTGGTTATTTGTCTGTGGTTATCTTAACTAGTAAGTGTGTAAGTGTGTGTTTTTCCTAGTAAGGTGTGTTTCTTAGGGATAACAGAAAGTTGGATCTAGTTGGTTTTTTTAAAATTCAGTCAACCGGTCTTTTCTCTTCATTGGTGAACTGAAGCCACTTGCATTTAATGTTATTACTAAACTATATTTAGTCAGTCTGATAATTGTGTTAGCTGTTTATTTGATGGAGGAAGGTCATTGGTTAATAAAGAAACTGCTTGGCCTGATAGGTTAAAACATAGGTGGGTGGAGTAAACAGAATGCTGGGAGGAAGAAGAAGTGATGTAATCGCCATGCCTCTCTGCTCTGGGTCAGACGCGATGAAGCAAGCCGCCAGGTCAGACATGCTGAATCTTTCCTGGTAAGACTGGTGCTACACAGATTATTAAAAATGGGTAGTCAAAATATGAGAATTAGCCAGTTAGAGGCTAGAGCTAGTGGGCCAAGCAGTGTTTAAATGAATACAATTTGTGTGTTGTTATTTCGGGGCATAAGCTAGCCAGGTGGCCAGGAACTGGGTTGCGGAACACAGCCCGTAACTCCTTCAACATTTATTGTTTGATTTTCTCCCTAATAATTATTTTAGGGGTTTCTGATTTATTGTGCTAGATATGATGAACTCTTTCTCAGGTCTTCTTTGTTTAGGTATTTTCCCTTGAAAAGCGTTTCCTGTGCTCTTGTATTTGAGGCTGTCTTCCCTTCTCTGCCTTTTATGGTATTCCTCTATGTATCTTCTACAAAGATGAGGTTGGTGTTATAAACTGCTTTGGTGTATGTTATATGTATATATGTTTCTGCTCTTGATTAAGGTATTGTGATTGTGTAGTTCATTTAAAAATGTAATGTATAATTAGGAAAATAGGTTGTTAATGGATAATCATCAATAATAATCATGTTAGTTAGATTTTCTAGATATATATATATTTCAGTTAAATAGGTATTCTTCGTATCTTTCAAAGACTACAGAATATGACATTTAATGTTTTAATAAGTTAGGGCTTTTCATGACAATGAGACACATCTGCTCCTGACAGCACCAATCTACTTCAAGAAGAAGATGGGCATCGAAGAGGCTCCTTATGGAGTTTGATAGCCATTTGGGCAAGAAACTGCTCTTGCCTGGACTGATGCATGAACTAGACACAAAGAACCCGCAGAAAGAAGACTGCTAAACTTGCCTAAAGGTGAGATGATCTTTTGGGGTTCCTGACTTATGAAAGAGTCTGCGAGACATTCTGCAGGACACAGCAGATAGTGACTGAACTGCCTTTGAAATTTTTTGATTCATGGAAATGTCTCTGGCTACTATGTCTCTGGCTTCGGCCTGTAGGCCAAAGATGAATGCCCCAACCGTACAGAGGAACTTTGGGTGATTGTCCAGGTAGTGAGATGTCTCTGTCATTTCTAGAGTTTGGAAGTTGTTTATTTCTTGTTTGCTTAGGTAATATTGTATCCTTCTGGAGTCTTTGATGGAGTTGAAGAATAGATAGTGATAGTTATAGTTGTTTTCCTTTGTTATGATAAAAGATAAAATAGATATAAATATTGTAACTGTAATTCTTGCTTGATAACTTTTGTTATATGTAATTTTACTATGTTAAAGTGAAAGCCTTTCTTTTTTATTTAAACAGAAAAAGGGGAAATGATGGAGGAAATGATGATCTGTCTATGTGTTACTCTCATTGGTTAATAAAGAAACTGCCTTGGCCCATTTGATAGGGCAGAGCATAGGTGGGTGGACTAGACAGAATAGAATGCTAGGAAGAAGGGAAGTGAGGTCAGACACCATGAATCCTGCCACCAGATCAGACATGCTGAATCTTTCCCAGTAAGACACCACCTTGTAGTTCTACACAGATTATTAGAAATGGGTTAAGCAAGATGTGAGAGTTAGCCAAGAAGAGGATAAATATAATGGGCCAGGCAGTGTTTAAAGGAATACAATTTTGTGTTGTTATTTCCGGTGTAAAGCTAGCCGTGCGGGACAAAAAGCAGGCCCGCAGCTCCTTCTACACTATGGAGCATCACGTCGAGCAGATGTAATGTGCTGGATTCTCAGTAAGTACACTGCCAGTGTTTTCTCCATCCAAATCCCCCTGTTCTCTTCTATCGGTGGTTAGATCTGAACTATACCTGAAGTTGCAATTCCCTATGGCCTAGGTGGGACTCCCCTTGGAATTCCCTTCTTATTCTTATGTTAACAAAGTGAAGACATTGGATCCTTGCTGTTTTGCCCATGACTTGTTGGGTAATTTCTATAATTTACTAAATTGAACATTTTTACTTTACTACTGAGACATCTTCACTAGTAAGATCAGTATTTTATAATTCATCTCATGTTAAAAAAAATAATTTCCCCTTGATTTGTAACCTCCTATAGCTTCACTACATTTTCAAACTTGTCACAATAATTTTCTATATCATTTAATCTTCATGCTCCCATTTCTTCACATTCACTTTTTCTTTGAATTCTCACTTCAAAGCACCTTATATCCACCTACTCATCAATACTGCACTCAGGAAGGTGTGACTGGCCAATGGTGAAATGAGAGGCAACAAAGAACGTTCTTGGCTTCTAGCGATGCAGTTGTAGAAGGTAGAGAATGGGGAGGTTTGGTCCAAAAATGTGCTGAATCCTGGGTTTCCTATCCTTACCATTTCTCTAGTATTTGCTTCTCACAGACTTTATAATCATATATCCAGTTTGCTACCTGGATTTTCTACTTACATATGTAACAAGCATCTTAGACTTAAAGATCTTCAAATGAAATTAAACTTCCTATCTGTCTGTTCCCATAGTGTTCCTTATCTTATGAAAAACATCACCCTCCATTGCATCTAAAATATCTAGAACATTTGTCTTTCTTTCCTATTAACCACATGCCTAAAGCTTGGGCTTAGAAAAACGGGAGAGAGAAGTATGACTCACAGAATAACATTCCCCATGGGCTGACACCATGGCCTCAGCCATTTCTTTCTGCCATGATATTCCAGAGGAAATTCCAATTTATAGGCTATCATTGTTTTGATGGTAAGAAAGCCAAAGGGAAGAAAGCAAAATTTTATTTAGAATAGTTTTACTTTTGAAAGAATGGTTACATATAAGTCTCTGCTTTCTATTACACTTGGGGGACAGCTTTATACCCCCTTCCTTTGGCATTCTTGATATCTCAGGCACCAACCCTAGTTGCAGATAGCTTTAACAGCCATATGTCTTCACCTCCAGAAATTCTTGGGGGGTTTCCAGAATCTCTTTTTCCCACTTCCTATTTCTCAAGCCACCTTAACTCTCACATGTTTTTTTAAGCAGGGAAGATAGACATAAAGCAGAAGTCTTAAACACTTGGCCAACCATTCCACTGAGGGCAAAGTCACATCCTTAGATCTGAGTTCCCCTTATAGACCTTAGTTTAGATGTAGGATTAATGATGCGTGGTAAATTCTGTCATTTCATTGTGTGTGTTCTACTGTGCCATATGTGGAAACTATAGAGGAAGGAGGAAGTGTAAGGGCTCAAAGCAGTGGTTCCTAGTCACAAAGCATCATCTACTTCTATAATCATCCTGGCAGGCATGAAATAATGTAAAGAGACATGTTTAGTCCTCCCTTTGGTATAAGACAGCTGACACTGTTGATACCAAGAATCTCATGATGGAATAAAGGAACAAGCTAAGACCCTCAAGTAAGCCAAAAGAAGGACTTGTTTTCTGGAAAGAGACTTAAAATCTGTCATATCACTTTCCAGGAGAGACTGAAGCTCAGACAATGGTAATGGGGTTCAGGAGGGAGGGAATAATTTGACCAGCACTGCTGAGATATGGACTCTCGACTTTGTTTAACACTAAACCTCATGATACCTGAAGATGGCCTTGGTGGAGGAGTCAATAAACCTCTTTGTTCCTCTTCCCGATGTACTATCATAAGTCAACATCAACAGGCCTTCATATGCTGGAGATGGCAAAGCGTAGCCCCCTTCCATGTGCAGTTCCTGAAATACAGGAAGCAATTCCCTTCAGGCAACCCAGTGGCAGTTAAACAAGCTTGTTACTTGAGTACTAGTGAGAAAACATCTACATGCCCCGAGGACTGTTTCTATGGCATCTGCATATGCATTTGGCAATGTTACCAATGATTCTGGTTATAGCAATTCTACCAGTGTACTTGTTCTTCATGTTCCACACCAGTGGCTTCTGAAAATATGGCTGTGCTCTACAATAGTTATGAGTCTTCCTGATCTGATAGAGTGGGCAGGCATTAAGGCTGTAAAGCAGGTTATGGGGCGGCGGGGGGGGGGGGGGGGATCTGCCAGATGAAAGAATTGGGGAAAATGCAGAAATTGTTGTTTGGCCTGATTATAAAACTTGGCAAAAGAATTATACTGAAACAGAAAAGAACTTAGCTATGATGAATTAAGTTTCTGAGATCCTAGGGCTTTAGGGCTGACTGCTTATGGCCTTATAAATCAAAAATTGGAATTGTGAGGAACACAATGGGAAAGATATGACAACGGAGTAAAACCCACTGAACTATGCTTCTTTAAACTGCAAGTAGGTGAAAGCCTCAGAAGTTGTTTTATGATTAACTCAGCTAAGAATTGGGAACTGGCAAAATGTCATGATGAATACTGATGTTCTGATTTCAAAGAATCTTTACACTTGTGTGAACTGCTTTGCCCGTGTAATGATTAACCTGTGGCAAGAAAAAAATAATCATTTTCCTTGTGTAAAATTTACAATAAAAGGGGGACGGGGGTTAAATCCGAGGTACGGTCTCCAGCGCCGAGCGCCCGTCGCCATGCCTCGGAAAATTGAGGAAATCAAGGACTTCCTGCTCACGGCCCGGCGGAAGGATGCCAAATCTGTCAAGATCAAGAAGAACAAGGATAATGTAAAGTTCAAGGTTCGCTGCAGCAGGTACCTTTACACCCTGGTCATCACAGACAAGGAGAAAGCCGAGAAGCTGAAACAGTCCCTGCCCCCTGGCTTGGCAGTAAAGGAGCTGAAATGAAGCAGACCTCTGTGTTTGACTATTAAAAACTAAAAAATCGTAAAAAAAAAAAAATTACAATAAAAGACTGAGGTTTGAAGCTCAGGGGAGAAGAGCCTTCCCTGACGCTGATAGCCTGCCAGCTTGCATCAGAACCCCATGTTTCTGTACTAATTTCACCCTCCATACATCCCAGATTGGAGACCCACTTCTCTGCTGAGCTGGTCACCGGCATTCATAGGGTGCCATCTTGTGTTGTTTAGTGGGACTACAGCAGAGCAGTCACGGCAGAATTCTTGGAAAGTGGTCTGAGGGACTGAAGCAAAGAGTTGATCTCTCAATCTTTCTTTCCTGCTTTTCACTATTGGTTGTGTCTTTAATTTGTTAGGGAGTGTCTTATTCATCTATTTCTGTGTTAAAGCATCATTGCCAAGGCAACTTATAAGAGAACATGTTTAATTTGGGGCTTAAAGTTTCATAGGGTACATGACCATCATGGCAGGAAGCATGGCAGCAAGCAGGCAGGCATGGTGCTGTAGCAGTAACTGAGAGCTCACATTTTGATTCACAAGTAGGAAGAACACACACACATAAACACACAGAGAGGCACACACACACACATAAACACACAGAGAGGCACACAGAGAGAGAGAGAGAGAAAGAGATAGAGAAAGAAAGAGAGGAGAGAGAGAGAGAGAGAGAGAGAGAGAGAGAGAGAGAGAGAGAGAGAGAGAGAATGGCAAAAGTCTTTTGAAACCTCAAAGCTTGCTCCAAGTAACAGCACCTCATCAAATAAGGCCACACCTCTTAATTCTTCTCAAGCAGTTCCAACAACTGTAGATGAAGTATTCAAATATATGAGCCTATGGAAACTATTCTCATTTGAACTATCACAGTGGGATTCAGAGCCATGGTTTTGGATCCAAACTTGGGTACCACTTATATATCAAGTATAGGAATTGTACATGGGGAACTGTTTGCAGATGAAACCTTAAACAAATCGTCCTTTAATCGATCCTATTCCTCTGTTCCAGCCTGTGTGTGAGTGGAGGGAGTTGCTAGCAATTCTAAAGAGCTATACCGATCACCCTACACTTAGGAAAAGCCTCTTGAGGATATTACAGTCTTGTTCTCCCAGAAACAAGAGGCGTTGAACTCCAATACTTAAGACAGTCTAATCAAGAGACTAGCACTTCTAGCCATATGAGCACTGTCTAGAATATCTGCACTCTTGCCAGGATGGATCACTACGTGCGATGTGTAAACAAACCTATGGGGTCATGGAGAACAAAAAGACCAGTCCAAGTTTTTACCAGACTTTTCTCCCCTTTTGTGTTCAAAGAAAAAAACATGAAAACCTTCACCCTGACTTTGCCTCTTTTCCCTGGTCTTTAGTACCTCTGTCAAGAGAATTCTGATGAGACAGCTAGAGTATAATACAGGAGGTAGACAGTCCTTACTACAGAGGAAAGTGTCATTTACTTTATCACTCTCAATAGGGGTAAGTGAATAGTGACTAAAGATACTGTTATGCCAATTTATATTTTAAGAAGCCTTTATTTCAAAGCTCCCTGAGGGTGTTTTCCTGTGTGGGTTATCTCCAAGACCATTTTGACTCTTATGGGATGAGAATATGGTGTCTTTCATTATAAGAAGTCATTTTGCTAGATAGTCTTTAAAAGATTTTTTTGTAGCAGGTTGGGTGTTCAGCCACTACAGCAGCAGGGAAGGTTTGAATGTAGAGTTAACAAATTCACTCTTTAGCCCAGAACAGGAATAATAGCTTATCGAGCAGACTGCAAGAGGACAGCAGAAGACTGAGAAGTAACCACAGTATCACCTATAGCACAGGACAGCGGGCTGTGAGGCAGGTGGGGGGGGGGCATTCCTCCATTTGAGCAAAGTACTTTTATAGTAAGCTTGACTTTCCCTGTGTGTAGTTTCCTGGCATACAGTTCATCTCATGCACTGAAATGCAGTTCAGATTACCCCGTCTAGTGTAAGCCGCAGTGCACACAATCCTCAATAATACATTACTGGCCATGTGAATAGGGATTATACAAATTAGAGTCAAGCAAATAAGGGCAGTTCTGGTTGATTAAAATTTGGTTCTGGTTAAAGGGTGGGTCACAGAGCAACAGGCTGAAGCCCTATGATGCTAAGTTGCAGCAATCTGTGGCTGGCAGTTATGATTTCAGGACCATGCTTTTGAAGATTCCCTAATAGGGATTAGATTGTCATCATCATTATTATCATTATTAATTACTATTATTAAGGTCATTTTCTCCCAAACCAGGTTTTGACAGTTACCAGGTTTCTCCAAAATCAGGTTTTGACAGTTATCAATTGAAGATTTCTTTAGCAGTTCAAGATGTCATGTTACTTTCCAGGATCAGAGTCATAACTCAGGTCCCATTCTTCCTGACCATTGATTAGCTGACTCTAGTTCTAGTCCTTGGTTTTAAACATTGTTAATTATGATGTCCTTTAAGCCTGCCAATACTATAGTAGCTACAAGACACTTAGGCCTGAGTAACTCAGCTTTCTCTCCCACTTCATAAAGGTTTTGGAAGTTAGAGTGTGGAGAAGGTGCCAATATGAGCTGTACGCATTTATCATTGTCGAACTGAAAGTTTTTTTAATGCACTGCTGCTAGGTTATGACTGCTGACCTGAGTGATACAGAAAGGCAAGTCTGTGTGCCAGGAAGTCATACCAGGATGAGCAACAAGCTGTGTGCCAAAGCTATGATTATGCACAGACTAGTAAGCAGTGTGATCAGTGCAGTCTATAATATACATAAGGACTTGGGGCAAGAACTCTGTGAATGCCATCAATTTAACATTTGTGAAAGTTTTTACTAAGTCTATCACAGAAAAGAAACCCATGATCCAGAACTTGATAGATTATGTAGGTATGAAGAATATGAATCAGGATTAAAACCCAGAGCTATTCTGATTTGATGAAAATAAACAGATAAAATACTATTAATATTTTTTTAAAAATTCACCCCGATGAATATAACCATCTGACAGCTCTATTTATCACAGCACATAAATTGATGGTCAATCTCATCACTGCTTCTGGGATTTTGGGTTCTTTGTGCTTCTGGGCTGGGTGAGCCTATCCAGAAAAGCTGTCTCCAGTTAGTATAAACATATCTTCATAGGTTCCAGCTTGTGTTGTTCAGTGGGTCTACACCAGAGGAGTCAGAACAAGATTCATGGAAAATGGTCCTATGGGGCTGGAGCTAAAAAAAGATATTTTTAGGTATTGATTGATAATCATTAAAATATTTGCGACCCTGCAGTTTTGAAGGAAGTTGGAAATAAAACATTGAGAAGGGGTAGAAGGACTAGTATTGTATACCCATTTCCTCCAAAGCTCATCTGGAAAGAAGATTCCTAAGACTCTGGAACTAAATGACACTTGCAAGGCTCAGGAAACTCCTGAAACTTAAAAGAGTCATTAAGCTTCCATGAAGTTATGTAGACAGTAATGGTTGCCAAAAGAAGAGGCTTCCACAAGCCAAGTTGCCTTCAAGATGAACAGAGAACTCTAGGGATAGTTTTATGAGTTGTCACTAATGCTAGGATAGCTTTTCTGGTAATATAACTGCTTCTGAATTACCCACACTCATGTTAGTAACCCCTCGCCTGCACTCCTACAAATAACTCCAGTAATCTCACTCACTCACTAAACTAAACTTGGGTAGAATTGTATTTCTGGTCTATCACTGTTGCCCTCTCAAGGGTGAAAATATGGTTTTTCTATGACTCCTTTGGTGGCCCTACAGCAACCATACATGAGGAGTATAACAACTCCTGATGTTTTCTTTAAACTTCTGGAAAGTAGAACCTGAACAAGAAGGCAGGCCAAAAAAAATTAGGAGCAAAAAAAAAAAAAGGTATAGTATACAAGTAGAATATATATCTCTAAGGGGAATAAAATTTCTCAAAGATAATCAGCTACAGAGCTTTGAGGGAATTTGTACAGTTATTTTCTAAACATAATTGATATTTGAGTGAGCTACTATTTGAAGGTTTGAGCTGGCAGTTTTCTTTACTGGTGTCCTCTTTTATAATCCATGGTCTCCCACAATGGTGAATTGCTCCAAATGTGTGAAACACTCTAAGGTGTGAAAATAAAGCATAGGTGGGGGTATTGGGAAAATTACTAGGTATCAGCCACATGGTTGGCTTGATAGAACTAATCCAGAGGTTGAAAGTATAACTTCATGGTAGAACATTTGCTACTATTAAGAGGCCTTGGGTTCAGTCCCCAGCACTGCAAATGATAATAGTAACAAAAAAAAATCACCTGATGGATAATTTAAATTAGTTTTTTGAGAAAGTAAGGGTACTTTCTGTTTTGGTCTTTTTAGAAAGGATTTCACTAGTTAGCTCTGGTTGGACTAAAACTCTTTATAGACTGGGCTAGCCTCAATCCCATGGAGTCTTATATGAAAGGAGTCTACAAAATTGCTATTGAGTGTATTATGTGTTGGCCAACTACTTATGGGCATTGGGCCAGCCCTGATGTATAGTCAATATACCCAGTGAGACACCATTGCAGACTTGGTTATGAATAGGAACCCTTTGCATTTCCCTCTCTCAGAGTTGGAATCCTGTCTGACTTGTGATGTGGGAGTGTCATATATCAATCTGTTGATTTCATTGGTTAAGCAATAAAGAAACTGCTTGGCCCTGATAGGTTAAAACATAGGAGGGAGGAGTAAACAGAACAGAATGCTGGGAGAAAGAGGAAGTGAGGTAAGACTCCTCAGACAGACATGATAGCTCTGCTCTCTGAGGCAGACGCAATGAACTCTGACCCAGGATGGATGTAGGCTAGAATCTTCCCGGTAAGACTGGTGTTACACAGAATATTAGAGATGGGTTGATCGTGATATGAGAATTAGCCAGTAAGGGCTAAAGCTAATGGGCCAGGCAGTGTTTAAATGAATACTATTTGTGTGTTGTTATTTCGGGGCTAAGCTAGCCAGGTGGCTGGGGTGCTGGGGACGCAGCCCCGCCGCTCATATTACAACAGACTTGCACCTATGAAGGC